CTTTGGTCAGGCAATGAAGACGCGACGACCGAGTTGCTCACGTCACTCAAGGGAGGGCACGGGGATGGTGCCAGCTCTGGAGGAATTCTGAAATCATCGTCTTTTCTCCGCAAATTATGTAAGTGGAAAAATACAACGTTACGAGGGTTGAGGTCTGGAATCGTCTCAAAACTTCCCGGGAAAGATTGGTCTCACCAATGAGAGTGAATTTAGCATTCAAAAACCACATTGAAAGCCAGTTGTCACAACGGCTGTAGAGCGGAGCGGTTTTGATGGCGTCGTTGAAGGTCACCGGCGGACGTTAAGAGATCGTACTGAATACAACTCCCAGCGCGAGTTCCAAGCTACCAATAACGCTCAACAAAGTCATCAAAACCGCACCGTAGTTCAAGCTACGTGATTGTATTTACCAGACCACAATTTTCGGTAGCAGTGAAGTGATGTCGATTGCACAAAAGAGGCGGTGATCCCCTCAGTAATATCTGAAAATGACTTACCAGCGTTGCGCTACCCTGTAGCGTGGGAAAACCAGACATTGAAGCAGGCGGAGGAGGAATATAACCTGGGTATGGAGTAAAGCCTTGTTCCGAGTGCAGAAGAGTTGGCTCAGCAATCGAGTTCGTCTGTTCGATTCCAACACTGATTGGCTCGAGTGGGCGTGAGCTGTGCTCCACTTCTGTAATTGTAGTCGTTTGTAGCAAACGAAAACTTTACTTTGAGGGACTTTGACATGTACTTCATGAACCGTATATTCTGCTCTCGGAGTAATAGAGGTACTTCCCGAAAGCACAAAGTACGACCGCATAGTATACGCATTCCCCGGCCAGGAACACATTCCGGCCGGTGAGTGCCTTCTACGACTTCCTCGGCTACGAATGTTGCCGCCACCGAGGGCACATTTCTAGCTGCAAGAGCACAAAATATTGCTCCAAATGAACATAGAATACTGCTCCGAATTGCGGCATGAGAGGCTGTCGAGTGGGCTTGCTGTGTTTCGCGGTCGCGGCAGCATAAAAATGAAATTCTTCCGAAGATTTGAACAGCTAAACCTTCTTTCTACTTTCAGTAATTTTAGACTACAGGTTCCTTACAAGTGAAGCGCCATT